GAGATGACCTTCCTGATGAGCCACGCTTGCACTGCCTGATCCTACTGCTGCGGAAGGAGAATGCTGGCCATCATGTGCCTGCGCTGGTGAGAGGTAAAGCCAGTCCTTCCCAGGTCCCCCAGGGAAGGGCGCTGGGATTCGGGTGTGCACCACTCCGACCGGGCAGCCTCGTTTCACAGCTCCCCGGGTGGCAGTCAAACTCTTCCACATCTTCGCCCCTGACCGTAGCTTTCAGTAAGGAGGATGCATCACCAGGCTTGTGTGTGAATCAGCCTCCACCATTGGATCCACATTCAGGGTAGCAGGATAATCAAGCTGCATAGTAATTTGGTCTTTAGGCTCCAGTCTTTGGACTCCTCATTGCCCAGATAATCATGGTGGCCAAAAGGACCCATCTGCCACTGCACGAGAAGTTAGTGCTCCATCCTGTCAGACTCAGACCTGGCCCCTGCCATCACCTATTTGTGAGTGACCCCAGGCTTCATTCCGCGCCTGGGAATTCATATTTTAAGGCCAGGAGAGACAGGTAATCTAGTCTAACACAGGGCAGAACATTTCGCCCAGCTCCCCGTACCACGCCTAGTGTTCGATTAAAGCGTCTCTTCCAGCGAGGCACCCAGTCTTTAGCTGACGACTTCAAGAGCCGGAGAATCCACCGGTTCCCTCAGCTGCTTGCTCAGTGGTTAATCATGCCCCTGTTAAAGAACTGCACCTTGTTTCTCGTTTGAATGTGTCTGGCTTTCCCTTCCAGTCACTGGCTCTTGTTACAGCCGCCTGCGCTAAGCCTGAGCTGTTAGTACCAGGCATTTTCTTCCCTTGAAGGTTGATCCAGCGCAACCAGGTCACCTCAGCCTTCTTTCTGATAAGCTAACCCGACGATCTTCCATTGCCTTTGGTGCCGCGAGGCTGGGTTACACCAGGGGAGCAGCTGGTGCTTTGGGTTCCAGCGGTTGGGCTGTCAGGACTGGCTCTTTGTCCCGAGCACAGCGCAGTTCTAGTCCCTTCTCTCTGCCCTGGCCCCTTTTCCATTTCTTTTCAGGCAGGGCCCCTGGAGGCCGGTTATTTCCACATGGCTCCAATATGCTCGAACCTCTGTAATCCAACAACCCTGGGAAACAGGAAATGCCGGATTAAAGATTTTGCCAGGCCAGGGAAGGCGCTATGGGGTCTGGGCGTGAGGGGTACAGGGTGGGGCACTTACCAGACACCCCACTCCCAGGAGCACATGCAGCTCTATGCACCCTGCCGCTCCCAGGCGCCAGCGGGGAAAAGCTGCAGTGGTAGCACATTGCTGTGTTGACGTCCCCCAGCAGTGCAGAGCCCCTTCCACCTCTGGCCATGGGTATTCCTGGATTGGGGGCACCCAGAGCACAGGGGTTCAAGTGTGATCGCTTTTCTCTGTGCCCTTCTCTAGCGTTATCCACCCTTTCCAACCATGAACTAAACATGTTTGTAAGGAAAGCATTATTATCCCAGTTTAACAAATGGGGAAACTGAGGCAGAAGGATGCTCACTGACTTGGGCACCATCACACAATAAATCTGGTGACTCATACGTGTTTCATCTGCATCATCCATTCGTCACTGTTCCTTTATTCCTCTATAGTATTCCCCTAGCCATCCCGCCCTCACTTGGACCCTTTTCTTTGCAAGATCGGACCCTGTGTTCTTTGGGGCTGGGTGCTTGACAATGTCCCCTCACTGCCTATCCCAGTTTGAGAATTCCTCTTCCTCTCTCTAGTGTCTTGTTTTTCGATTGTGCACCATATCATGCTTGAAAATGGAAAACCATCCATCACAGCTGTTGCTGCAGGAAAGACGTTTGAGGGTCAG